CAACGCGCCGCGCCTGCTCTCGTGCCCGCACCGCTCGTGCCGCTCGTGCCTCCGGCAGTACCTGCGCATCGAGATCACCGAGTCGCGCGTCAACATCAGCTGCCCCGAGTGCAGCGAGCGGCTCAATCCGGCCGACATCCGCCTGCTGCTGCGCGACTCGCCCCAGCTGGTGGCCAAGTACGAGGAGTTCATGCTCCGGCGCTGCCTGGCCGCCGACCCGGACTGCCGCTGGTGCCCGGCCCCGGACTGCGGGTGAGGCTGGGCCGGGCGCGGGAGGGGCGCGTGCGGAGCCGCCTGTTCTCTGGGGGGTGCCGGTTGAGGGCTTAATCCCGCGGTCTGGCGCAACAGGTGGGTCGGCTGCAGCTTCGTGGCTCGGCCCCGCGTCTGGAATCTGCGTGCGTAGCCTGTAGTCGGATTTATCCGCCGCCTCTGTCGTGCCTCGCGCAGGACATTGCGTGCTTTTCCAGAGTCCCTAGCTGAACTAATCTCTAATAAGTCTCCTTGCTGCGCTTGTGTCTGCCTTCTCTGCGTGCGAAAAAGTGGTGGCTACTCTGTATCAGTTAAGGGAAATACCTGTAGAGAAGATGCTCATGTTTCCGCATAGGAGGACAGAAGGAGCTAGTTGTATCCCAGGCGTTTTGTCCTATCTCTTTAAAGCGCTCAGCTGGGGGGGCACCGTGATTATGCTGCTAATTTTTTGGCAGTTTCCTGACTGAATTATTGTTGAGGTATGTACTGCGTACCATCAGCACTGTGTCTGGCACTGACACGTCAGTGTATACTTTCTCAGTTTTCCCCCAGTATCGGTCACTAAGAAGAGAGATTCCCTAGTCTTTTAAATATGGTCTATTTAAAATAGTTACTTAACCATTATGTTTTGAAAGGGTTCTGTTTTCTCCATCATTAGATATGTGAAATATAGTGCTTTATATAAGTGGTTTGCCCCTTTGGGTAGTGTTTTAAATGAAGAAAGGTATGTATATCAAGGAGCAGTAGATGGTGACTCTTCCTAGTTGCTGCGATCTACCTAGGTTAGCTAGATTAGGGGTTAAGTTAGCTACCTAGGTTAGCTAGATGATAGTTCCCACTAAGTAAGATAAGTCCATAAGAGATTTCATTACGGCAGCTTATTTCATCCTGGTGCCTGTCATTTAATTCCACCTGGTTGAGGTGGCTACATGGTGGTACTGAAACAGTACATAGAACTTGCATTAATAGACTCAGTAAGAAGTATGGGAGGGTGCCTTAGGGGAAGGGTCAGGTAGCTGACTGTAGCTAGTGCCAGGTGATACCGTCTAATAGTTACCCCAAAGATTTTTATGATTTGAATCTTGGACAGCAAGGTCTATCCTAGCAGAATCAATGGGTAGCCTTTTTCTTGGGATAGGTGAGAGTTGCAGTGGGTAGGATGCCAAATGGTTGTCAGGATGCCCTGCTTTGGGGAAGGGGGGAGTTTGGTGTTTTTTCCCCGCTTTGCTTTTAAAATTATGCTAAGCTTATTTTAATTTATCTACTACGGATTTGGGGCTGCCCCTCTTCAAAATGGCAGGAAATGAAGGCACTGATTTCCAGCAATTACAGTAGAAGGAAAGGATCTTAAAAAGGGTTGTGGATCACATGTGACTCTGATTCCAGATATCACCCACCCCTCATGTAAAAGTTAGTGCTTCCTTGTGTAGAACAGTTATATAATTATTTTCGATCAAGTTCTGGCCTGAATTACTTTATCAGTAAATTCAGTTTCCTGAGGATTCTGTCTGAATACCAATGGATAAAGGTATTAAAGGTATGAAATTGGTGGTTTAGAAGTGAAAGGGGACAGGGTGCTCAGTCAAAACTGAGTCTGTACAGTTAAATAAATACAGCCAGTTTGGTTTAGTGGTTAAGGCACCAGACTAGAAACATGGAGATCATGAGCTCTAGTCTCAACTTGGGCATGTGTGACAGTCCCCCCTTCTCAGCACTAGGAAGAAGGCAAGGGCAAACCACTTCTGAAAATGTTGCTGAGTAAACTGCAGGGACTTGTCCAGGCCGTCGCCAGGAGTCAAGACTGACTCAAAAGCACAAAAAAAGAAAAAATAAATAAATGTAGAGTACATAAAACTGTGTCAACAGTTCTTTACAAGGTAAAACACTTGCCAACCAGGCTATGTTTGGGGTTTTTATGACAAGTTATTTTCTAATATCAAGGAATTCTGGGTCTTTCCCAAAATTGCCCCGTATTCTCTCATATCCACAAGAGATGTGAAAGAGATGCTGACTTCCCATCAAGAACAAATGCTTTGTGAAACTGTTAGCAGACCAGAATGTGAGTCATTGTGATTTAGTCCAGTCAGATATGTGGGAAATGGCCTATGGCTTGGCAGATTGTCAAAATGAGATCAACAAGGAGTCTTTTGCTTTCGCTTCTGTTTTCTTTTAAATCAGCCTCCTTCGAGTTTCTCTGATGCAGAATTGAGAAGGTTCTGTCAGCTAGGGTTCTTCTGGCTTTTCCTGGAAACCATGCAACTTAATAGAAAGGATGATGGGAGTTACAGCGTAGCAAACTTGGAAGTTATTGCTAAATGTCTATAATTAACTCAGATTCTCTAGTTTTCTGCCAAATGTACTCATATTTTGTGAGCATCATGGTTCAGTAGCCAAAATGTACATTGCTTTGGAAAAGTTTTGATATCTAAATAATTCCAAATATTGAAGGAGTTTTTCTGCTTTATTAAATCCTGTGGAAATTCATAAACACTGTTTCCCTGATGCTCCTGAAATTGACCTAGAAATATCCCCAAACACTGTTTCCTCTATAGCAAACTTGAGAAGTTTTGCTAAATTAATACCTAATAGTGGTAATAGATTTCATGCTAGTGTAAAAAAAAAAAAGATTTTTATTCCTCATAGTTGCAGAGATGTACTCTAAAGAAGTGGCACACGTTTGTTCATCCTTTCATTCAGATGTTCATCCTGCCTTTATTTTTGGTCAGCTCAAGGTGGCGTACATACCTAATGCTCCCACCTTCTCTTTTCCCACAACAACCCTGGGAGGTGGTTTGGGCTGACAGACAGTGCCAGAACCAAAGTATACCTATACCTGTACAGTACAAAATACCTGAGGATATATACTACTTTTCATTTCTAAGTAATAGTTTTGGGATAATATGTGACAGCTAACCTAATATAGTGGCATGCCAGTTCCATGAACAATATATGCCAGTTGCTTATGGAATGGGCATGTGTGTCTGTGTGTTCTGGAGAGTACTTGTTATGTCTCCAGGGGTGTAACAGCACATTGCCAAGGTAAGTATCTGTGCCACTTGGAGCTGAAGGTCTGTTGATGTTCTTCCTGTGCTCCGGAAAGGACATCTGGTCTTCTTCCCTGCTTCTTGGATATGTTATACAAAACCTTTGTCCCCCAAGTTTCAGAAACCAGCTTCTCTCTGACTTACAGTGAAAACATGTCACGGGAAAAACAGTGTGCAGTGTACTGATGGCTTCTGCTTTCTGTCCTTGCTGTAAGCATCTTCATAAACTGGCAAGCTTAGCTACTCTGCCTAGGGAGGCAAACTGCAGACATAACACGAGAGTGTGTTTCCATGGTAATGCTGTCTTCTGCTGAACAGATAGATCTGCATACAAATCTGGAAGTACCTTTTTCTTTGTAGCCAGCTTGTCTACAGCCTAGCATCTGTTGGGTTTTCCCTCGCAGAGATATGGAGAACATTTCAGGGCCTTAAAATAACAATTGCATTATGTTGGCATAACTGAATGAGAAGAGCAGAATGTGGTGAGGCATAGATTATTCAGAAGGCTTGAAAGAACTTCAGACTTTGCGAAGGAACACAAATTCAGAAAATAACCCCCACCCCCAGTATGTGCAGGGATCCAGACTAGCCATAGGCAACACTGAGCATGTTTAGTCGATCTGGAATGGTAGCTTCTTGGAGATGAGAGAGATTAGGTGGGAAAATGGAGAGTACATATGGAATGGGTGTGGGTGTGTATCTTCTGAATTTGTGTTTCTTTGCAAAGTTTGAAACTCTTTCATGCCTTCTGATTTCTCTCTAATACGAGTAAAGGTGACTTTGGCTATGTATCAATCAGAAAAAGAGTTCACTGTTAACATACAGAATGTCACTCTTGTCTTGGTTTAAGCTAGCAAGCTGCTTGTCTTTCAGTGCTACTGAGAGCTGAATGATCTGTGCCTCATCTTATTTTTACTCTGTTCTTCTCATTCATTATTTAGCTCTTCCTAAACAAGACTGTTCTGTACTACTGTATTTTGTTCTGGATCCCAATTGTGCATTCTGTTCTAAAATCTGGAGTTCATAAAAAAAAAGAAAACCCATCCATACTGAGGATTGCAGTATGATCTGAAACTGATGTGATAGGACAGAACTGAAAGGTATAGTTTGGGCTATGTAGGTGTTTAGCTGTTGAAATCTTCTGGTAATATGGGTAGTCTGATCACAGGCAAGGTATAGGTAGTTTAAATAATTCCTTACTTATTCCTTAAAGACTAGAAAGTATGCCAGTTATGCTCTGTCAAGATACTTGCTGTCCATTGAACATTTTGAAATGCAATACTTGTGATGCAGCAGTTGTCTTTCATGTGTTAATGCTCTGAAATGACTAGGGGGAGCTTAATTCTGTAATTGGGATTCTGGTGATAAGGGTTGGGGTATCTGTGCCGCCGGATAATCAAAATGGCTGTTTGTATCTGTTAAGAAATTAATCAGGCTTGTGAAAAGGCAGCAGCCAGTCTGGATTCCCAAACAGCTGCATATGTATGTACAGGTTTTTCTTTTAAAAATTGTAATTTTTTTGGAGGAATGGGATATGTATATTAAAAAGAAATCAGAATCCTGAATTTGAGCAAGATATTTAAAAGACACACTGGCATTAAAGGTACTGTATTCATAACACAGTTTCAAGGATTTCTCTTTTGACACAAGTAGAAGAAAGCAGGCATTATGGTGAAGGGCAGGTACAGGTAGTCCCCTGGTTAAGAATGCCCAGTTTAAGGATGACCCATAGTTAAGAACAGAGCCTATTGTAGCAAAATTCAAGTTAAATACACAATGGTTCGAGTTCATTACACAATACTACTTACACAATATTATACAATGCTGTTCCAGCTTACATACAAATTTGACTTAAGGACAGACCTTGGGAACGGAACTCGTTCTTAAACTGGGGACTACCTGCAGTATTACTGGAAGCCAGTTCTGCTTATGCAATTTGGAGGACCTTTTCCAGGAAAA